TCTTATCTAGGTCAACTCTTCTGACCTAGCGAAGGCACTATCAGTGGTTGTATACTTAGTCAGTGAGCGGTCGTTTTCTTTCACCAAAGAAAGATCGACGTAATCAAGGGTGAGTATTTGGTCAGCAGTACCAGTGACCCAACATGGCTTGGAATTTCATCTGTAAGGTTAAAAAGGTGTTTGATCGAATAAATGCATTTCGTTTTCAACCAATTTAGGCTTTGAAGAAGGCGATCTTGCCGAAACGTCAGCCAATAAAATTTTTCAACAATCTCGTGTGTGGCTAAGGAAGTTTATCAATAACATATTTCGAAAGTGTCTGAGGACTTCGGGATAGCAATGCCGATTTTGACACAAAAACAACAACCTAGTATATTGACATGAATAAAGGTGCAGGCTGTAAAAATGCAAAATAAAACGCTAATCAAATGTGCGTTTTCTTAGGGGAAATCAAAGTGGAACTAAAAAAATAAAAACGAGATCAAACTTGGACGATTCAAAAGAGCTTCAGGTAACTCTAACTGTTACTAACGCAGACACTGAAAACGGCGAAATTAACTTGTTCTTGATGTAAGAAGCTGATTTTCTGGAATATCTAAGAATTGTGAAATAAATCCAGGCAGCTGAACTTAAAGCTATAGTAGCAAACAAAATTGAATAGAAGTAGAATAAAATTGTAAAAGATAAAGGAGGAGGAATCTGGTTGATAAATGTAGAAAAAAAATAACCCGAACGTACGATCCAAAGAGCAATTTACCTCCTTGATACTTTAACTGAAATCCAGCAACGGTAGGATTTTCTCCAATGTAGTGCCATGGATTGTTTACTCTCTCTTTGCCCTCAACAGAACTACATGAATGAGCTTTTTCCAGTACCACCTCTTGAATATCGCATGCCGAAACAACAACATTTTGCAAACAGAAATATGAATGATTACTTTACAATTAGAAGTTTGAAGAAACAAAAAAGTCTTAGGATGTTTTCCAGTTATATCCTCGAAGCACGCTCCCCTCCCGCCCCCTCTTTTCTTTTAGCAAAAATTTTTGCACGAGATGCGTATTTAGTCGCCCCTTCTCAGGTAGATGTTGATTATCTTTCTAATTGCAGGATGAGTAAGATTAACGAAGTTCTTTGATAGAACTAACTATGATAGTATGGTTAAGTTTTGTCAGAAATTGTCGGTTCATCACATGGCTGCATACAGTGTCAACATCTCCATTGTAGATTAATATCTAGAAAAAACCTCGCGTAGCCATGGTCTGGAAGTTGCAAAACGATTCCCTTATTCAATGCTTTTGCTTACCTTTACACCGACTGCACTGACCTTCTCAATCTGTGCTATCATGTCAGCGTAGACCACGCCATAGCTGTCTTCTACGGCATTGCTGGAAAAACCAGATTAGTTTTCTCTGTTTCTCTTCATCTGGCACTAAAAAGAGTCAAACTAATTTCCACTAACCTACATTCGGTCCATCTTGGAAGCGACGTAGGAATATGCAAAGCCTTGCGAACATCAGCTCTATTCAGATAGTCTTCTGTGTTTCCGATTTGGTCACATAATGGCACCTATTCCCGAACTTTTTGTTTTTCCCGAAGACCACAAAAAGATTGACGAGGACATACATTACTACTGCTTTGCGAATTCTTTGGAGGAAACCCTGCTTTTCTCCTCATAAAGCGCTCGATATGAGCTTTTCTTCCACTGGAACTTGAGGTGTAACATGAGCTGTAAATGTTGTATGCGTCCACGTCATCAGCAGCGCTCAATACCTGGAAGCATGCAGGTATTTTTTAACCGTATGCTGCGCTCTATGTCTAAATTGTCGATATGAGAAGAACATTTAATTAAATATCAAGAAACATGTGCCTCTATTTGGTCGCTAGTTATCTCTTTGTTGCAAAATCTTTTTAGGCCTTGATGATTAATTTGAAATATCACCTTACTTTGCCATCCATAGACTTAATTTGAACCATTCTGGTACGGTAATGTTGGTATTCAAAGTTATTTGCTCTACAGGTGGCGTAAAGCACACCGTATCGTTACAAAACCCCACAGTATTAAATGACTATCGTAGAGCGCAATTCAGACAACTGCGCCAGACACATTTTCAGCGTAATAGCTACTTCTGGCCCAATGTTAAAAGTGCCTCACGCAAGCTTAACCAGCATGCAGCTTTATATCAGAGTCCTACCCAGGCGTCAGTGCGAGGTCCCCAGTTTTGCCTTAGGAAGACTAATACCTTTTTAAAAATGTTTGCGTAGAGCGGGTCTCCTTTCTTAAAGTAAACGGATTTAGAGGCCTAGAAAGAGAGGAAAGAAGTGCTTTCACTTGGTTATTGCGCTATAATTTGGGTTAAGAGGTGCATAAAATGTTTCATAGAAGGAAAGAAAATTATGAGATAGAAAGACCTAAGGTCTCTTGCAGGTCTCCCGCAGGTCTCCCTCAGACCTTCACAAAAAGATACGACAATTTTGTCAAAGGCTTTAAAAGATTCTGTATGCAATCCTTGAACTTTTTTTGCGCTCTCACCATTGAGATGTTCATCGGCTCTTAGCTTAGGAAATGGGTTTAAGTGAATTACTGAAAATCTATGTGAAATTTTCTGGCAGACGTGCTCTCAAGACTTGGAGCAGACTTGTGGACGTGTTAGTTATGTGATAGGTATCGGAGACAGCTGTAAAGAAAGTGCTAAGAAAGGCAAAAAAGGAAGAAGGAACTCCGATCTCTGGGATTACCGGACCCTTACGACTTCCCCTTTACTTTTCTCCCCCAAAAAGTTTCCAGCTTGCCCTCCGGAAACCTGCTGCTCCTG